TTCCTATTCATATCTTTTATTTAGTTTTCTATTCAGTTTCCAATTTTATTCCTAGTGATTTGCAGGAGCCCTTTGTATATTCTAGTTTAAATGTCCTGTACATTTGAGTAATTGCTAATATCTTCTCCTAGTCAGTCATCTGTCTCCTAAAGTTTGTACTTTATTGAACAGGAATACTTTATTAAATTTCATGCAGTGGCAATAATCATTTGTCATCTCATGTTTGTAGTTTTGGGTCTTGCTTACCAAGCTTTCCATCTGGTTCATAAAGATAGTTTGTATTTCCTATTACCTTAGTAAGCTGTAAAATTCATTTTGAATCCCCTTTGCATATGATAACAATGCAGTATCCAATTTGATTTTTCCCTGTATAGTAAGCCAGTTTTCTCATGCTACCTAAGAAATAATCTTTTCTACATTGTTTTGTGGTGCTGGCTTTATCAAAAATCAAATTGCCACATATTTCTAAGTTCTCTATTCTGTTCCACTGGCCTATTTGTCTTCCTATGTGAGCTCTATACTATTGTTACTATTATGACTTTGGATAAACATGACTGATCTTACATTTGTGTTGTACTTGGTCAAATTTTTTTTATTTTAAAGCTTTTTATTTATTTATTTTGACAGAAAGAGAGAGAGAGCACAAGTAGGGGAAGTGGAAAAGGGAGAGGGAGAAGTAGGCTCCCCGCTGAACAGGAAGGCTGATGTTGGGCTCAATCCCAGGACGTTGGGATCATGACCTGAGCCAAAGGGAGACACTTAACTGACTGAGCCACCTAGGTGCCTCTGTACTTGGTCAATTTTTAAATAGATTTTCAGTGAAGTTATAATACCATTACATTTCCTTTTCCCTTGTTGTAATTGGTACAATTTCTCTTACTGGAAGGAGCACATAGTGATTAGTGTGACTCCCTTAACAGTGATAGAAAGCAATAACTTGTATTTAATCACATTTGTTTCCCCCAAGAATGGAAAAATTATTAATTACACCATGAGCGTCAGAGCACCTTTAAGTCCATATCTGCTGCTTAGCTAGGATGTTTATTTAAATCCTTTTCACACGGACTTTTCACATTTGGGGGTTTCTTCCTTACCCCTTCTTGAGGCCCCATATTCTTTATGAATATGGGTGAGCTTTATCAGGTCCCCTAGAAATTGCATGGAATTAGTTGATTATCTTACTAGCCCCATTTGGGGGTGGGGGGACTTGTTTCTACACTCCCACTGACTTGATTTATTTTGGATACAATTCTTAGTATGTCCAATTCCCTACAAGCTGAATTCCTCTAGGTTTCGGGTTGCCAGACTGAAACTGGCCATGTTACTGCAGATACTTGTCCTCCAAATGTTAATCTCTTCCCTAAGATGTGTGACTTCTCTACCATTTTGTCTTATTCCAGGTAGCTTCCTGCTAAATCTCCCTCACTCTTCCTGTCTCGTGCTAAGAAGAGGTAGAAAATGAAATTTACAACCAGCATGTCTTTAGAAGGAGAATGGAGCATGGTAAATAAAGGTTTTTTTGTCCTGCTGAACATTTGGTTAGGTTTGGATATGCAAAAGTGGGTCTGGACCTTAGCTTGGAAGTAGACACTAACAAGAACTGCTGTGCTCTGCATAAAGAACAGGAATTTGCATTGGGGGCTAGAGTCCAGGAAGGAGAGGGTGCTAATGACCTAAGAGACCCAGGAGAGAACAAGAAGAGAAACAAGCCAGCTAGTGTATTGCTGAGCCCCTATATGGGTGGGAACTGAGTAGAACAATTCCTGGGAAAAGGTCTTTTAAGAAGTGTCCAGTTTTGGGGCACCTGAGTGGCTCAGTCGGTTAAGTGGCTGCCTTCAGCTCAGGTCATGATCCCAGGGTCCTGGGATCGAGCCCTGCATCGGGTTCCCTGCTCGGCGGAGAGCCTGCTTCTCCCTCTCCCTCTGTCAGCCACTCTGCCTACTTGTGCTCGCTCTCTACCTCTGTTAAATAAATAAATAAATAAAAATCTTAAAAAAAAAAAAAGAAGTGTCCAGTTTTCCGGGTGCCTGGCTGGCTCAGTTAGTGGAGTGTGCAACTCTTGATCTCATTGTTTTGAGTTCAAGCCTCACACTGGGCGTAGAACTTACTTAAAATAGTTAATTAATTAGTTAATTAAGTAGTTAAAAAATAAAATTGAGCTTCGTGGAAGCATTAGTGTAGCCATTAAAAAAAAGAAGTGCCTAGTTTTCAAGTAGAATGCCTTTACATTGTTGAGCTGTAAATATTCATACCCCAGTTGTCTTCCCAAATTTTCACTAAATTCTAACAAAAACAAAAGTGTTTCATGTTAACAGATACACTCATCTGTGTGTGTTAAAGGGAAAGGAGGGGGAGCGGTGGTGTTATGAGGATGTATCAATTGAGAAAGGGAATGGAAATGATAAATTGATTCACATGGTAACAAATGGGACAACCTGGGTAAGAAATAGTGAGACAATCCATTAACTGACCATGTTCAGTGGAAGCAGTAATCCAGAGCCAGAAGTCATAACAATAACAAGGAGAGGAGGAGGAAGCAAAAAAGGAGAAAGAAGAATGAAGACAGAGACATGAGTACCACTTGTAAAGTGTGCCAGGATTTGTTCTAAATGCTTAGCTTTAGACAGGTAATGGTGACCATGAGAACCATAACACCCAACAACTGCCTCTCTCTCCCAGAGATGCACAAAAATCTTAGGGAGGGCTTTGGACTTCCCACAGTAACCAGTGAACATTCAGGCCAATCCTCTCCAGATCTCATAACACAGGAGACCTCAGGTAACATCTGGAAAGCTTTTAAGCATTAGCCCTTACTCCCAAAAATACTCCAAAGGAAGCTTAAGACCTGGTGCAATGGTACATCACAACTTCCTTCTAGCTTCCAGCCCTGTAAGGGCGCCCAACCTCATTATTAGAACAAATTTTGTTGTAATTTCCGGTGTATCATAATGATCATGAATATTTTAAAAGGAAAAATTTTTTGAAAAATAGAAAAGGCTTGCCAGCCAACCTGTTCCTTTCATGGATTTCGATCTTTCATAGTCTCTTGCCTCTGATGTTGACGCAGGTCAGCAACTTTCTGCTTTTTCTTAATCTCACTCTAGAGTACCTAAGCTGGTTCCTAGCCTCTTCTATTAACTTCTGTTCCTAGTCTAGTCAAGTTTGAACTCAGCAGGCCCCAAACTGGTCCTATATCTCTCTGGGAATTTCCACAATTTCATAATCACCCTTGAAGGTCTCAGCTGGTTCTCTCTGTAGTAGTTAAGGCAGCTCTTGGCTGCCCTCTTCTGGATCAGGTCCCTAAGCCACTCACTGCTGTTGACCAGCAACCCAAGTCCCAGCTTCCCCTCTGAGCTGGGATAGGTGGGGTAACCATAGGTGTACATCTGCAACTCTCTTCTGCTTCCACAGAATCTTAGCAATGTTATTTTACCTACATATATATTTTTTCATTTCTTAAATGTTGTAGCTCTTTTACCAATAAGGAAGATCTTGTGGGGGAAAAAAGAAATGCTGAGGCCTCTCAGGTAGTAAAACATTAAGTGAATTCAATAAAAATAGATAACATTATCTGGCACTATCTGTTAAACCATCTCTTCCAAAAATGTCACATACAGTTTGAACATCATAGCCATTTATAAATATCTCAAAATTTAAACAAAAATCATCACTTACACTATTCTGGGACAGCTAATTTTTTAAAGAGTAAATTGAAATATGCAGAGTAAAAGAATACGCTTAATGTTCCTAAAGTTCCCACTTTCCAATTTGCCCCACGAATTATCTAAGAACACTCCCTTGGCACACACATGCATACACACACACACTCACACCTTTTCTTTGAAATATTATTAGGAATTAAATTGCTTAGGACCTTCAGACTTTCCATTCTTTCTATATTCTAGCTATGAACATATTTTGTCCCTACATTAAGAGCCCTCCTCCCAATCATATGGAAATGATTATGAGGCTGGGAAACAAGGGGGCAAAACAAAAAAGAAAAAAGGAAAAAAAGAAAAGAAAAAAGAAAGAAAAGAATTATCATACACTGCTGGTGGGAGTGTAACTACTTTGGCAAACTGGCAATTTCTACTCAAGTAAAATACGACCCACCATTTGCACTCTTAAGTATTTACTCAAAAGAAATGAAAACAGAGGCACCTGGGTGGCTCAGTTGCTAAGCGTCTGCCTTCAGCTCAGGTCATGATCCCAGGGCCCTAGGATCCAGCCCCGCATCGAGCCCCACATCGAGCCCAGCATCAGGCTCCCTGCTCCGCAGGAAGCCTGCTTCTCCCTCCCCCACTGCTTGTGTTCCCTCTCTTGCTGTGTCTCTCTCTGTCAAATAAATAAATAAAATCTTTAAAAAAAAAAATGAAAACAAATGTCCACATAAAAACTTGTATAAGAGCGTTCACAGCAGCTTAATTTATAATAGGTCCAAACTAGAAACAACTCAAATGTCCATTAACACTTGAATGAATGAACAAATTCTGACGTATTCGCATAATGGAATACCAACAACAAGGGAAAAAAAAAAAAAAGAACAGCTGCAACAGCATGGATGACTCTCAGAAATACTATGCAGAGGAGACATAGAAGAATACACATTAAGTCCATTTCTATGAGGTTCTAGAAAAGACAAATAGGCAAAACTATTCTAGGGTAGCACAAATCAGAATAGTGGCAACCTCTGGTGGGGGGTTGGTGGTCCCCAGGAATGGACACAAGAGAACTTTCTGTGGTGAAGGAAATAGTCCATATCATGCCTAGGTAGTGGTTGCATGGGTGTAGACATAGATAAAAAGTCATTGAGCTATCCATTCAAGATTTGGGCATTCTTAAATGTCAATTACATCTCAATTTAAACTAAAGAACATAGATAAAGAAAAGGAAATCAGAACATCAGTCACAGGGCTAGGAAAGAGAGCTGTCAGTTAGAGAATATCTACCTGCAACCCATAATGTTATTAAATATCCCATCCAATTTAAAAATAGAATAATTGTTAAAATTTATGTTAATTACAAATGACATCCCAAATATTGCAGTAGTTTTCCAGGCTCTGCCTTTGCTCGGGACCTGGTAAACATCCTGAGAGGGCTGAATGTTGGCCCTGGAACCAAGGCAGACTTCAGGGATACACAACTTATGAAGTAACACGGGGCTCCATGTTCAGAAGGGCTCTGCACTTGGCTTAGGGCTCTGCTGTCACCGTCTTAAAACTCTTGAAAATTCTATCTTTGAACTTCTGTTTGGCAAGTGAGCTTCAGTGGGACAATGAAGCCAGCTCAGAAACAGGAAATCCAAGCATTATGTGTGTCTGCTGTTCATTGCTGTCCATTTGCACATACCACTTGTGATGCCCATGGGCACGGAATTTCTTCCATACACAAGGTGTGGGAGTTCCCTGTGACTCAAACCAAGTACTAGGTAGCATAGTATACCTACGACTGAATAAGGAGGGAGGTCCTGACAGTTCCCAGGACCACGTTACTTCTTACACCAAAACTATTTTCCAAAACAGAAACAAAAGCAATGGTGTTCTAAAAAGCATGAACCATCAAGAAACCTTACCATATCCTTTCTTACCTTTGCTAATCCCTTGTATGAGCCGTGTGAACTTGATGACATAAAAGGAAAGGGAAATAGAGGACAACTTGTTTTTTCTTTCCCTTTTAATCACTCCTTACTCATCAGGAAGCTGAAGGTAAAATGTGTTGGTACAACATACATAGACATGTCAAGAAGTGAAAAAGTTGTGCAGCCATCACCTCAATCTTGTTCAAAGCTATTTCTATCATCCCAGAAGAAACCCTCTACCCAGGGAAGTAGTCATTTGGATTCCTTATTTACATTTTTGCTCTAATTTGTCTTTGGAAAAGAATAAAAGAATCTGAGTTTAAATTACAGCATTATAGGGCGCCTGGGTGGCTCAGTCGTTAAGCGTCTGCCTTCGGCTCAGTTCATGATCCCAGGGTTCTGGGATCGAGTCCCACATCGGGCTCCCTGCTCGGCGGGAAGCCTGCTTCTCCCCCTCCCGCTCCCCCTGCTTGTGTTCCTGCTCTCGCTATCTCTCTCTGTGTCAAATAAATAAATAAAATCTTAAAAAAATAAAAAAATAAAAATAAATAAATTACAGCATTATAAAAAGAAAGTGAAATAAAAACACGTGAGTTTTTAAATGAAAAAATAAAATGATGCCTCTTTAAAATCCTTGTTTGCCCAGGACACCTGAGTGGCTCAGTCAGTTAAGCGTGTCTTTGGCTCAGGTTGGGTCGTAGGGCTCTGTGCTCAGCGGGAAGCCTGCTTCTTCCTCTCCTGCCTGCAGCTCTGCCTACTTGTGCTCTCTCTCTCTCTCTGTCAAATAAATAAAATCTTAAAAAAAAACGAACAAAACACTGGCAGACTCCACTTCCTGTCCCTTTTGGATGCTGGCCCTTGAAACCCATTCATTATGCCCCAAGAAAGTTGAAGTAGCTTATGAAAAACGCCTACATAGAAAGGAATTGTGTCGCCCTAGTTTCATCCTTGGCTGAGTTCTCAGTATCAATCAGCAACTAACCCGCGATGAGGATGAGCTATATGGGAAGTGGATCTTCCAGCCTCCAGCTGAGATAGCTGCTTCACTTGACACTACATGGAGCAGAGATGGGCATCCCTGCTGAACCCCATTCAAATTGCAGATCTGGGTGCCTGGGTGGCTCAGTTGGTTAAGCGACTGCCTTCGGCTCAGGTCATGATCCTGGAGTCCTAGGATTGAGTCCCGCATCAGGCTCCCTGCTAGGCAGGGAGCCTGCTTCTCCCTCTGACCCTCCCCCCTCTCATGTGCTGTCTCTCTCATTCTCTCTGTCTCAAATAAATAAATAAAATATTTAAAAAAAAAAATTGCAGATCTGTGAGCTAAATAAATTATTGTTGTTGTTTAAAACCAGGTGTTGGCATTTTTTTTTATGAGGTGACAGATAACTGATATACTTCTTGGGTTCTCCTGGGAGAAAGGTGGACTTGATTTAGGACTTGGAGTTCCAGCATTTTTACCCAAGGGAGGTCAACAAAGGATAGAGGTTAAGCACATAGATCCTGGAGTTAGATTATCTTGGTTAATATTCCCAGTTCCACCGCCTACCAGTTGTGTAAACTGTAGGCAAGCCACTTATACTTGCTATTCCTCAGTTTCCTGTCCATAAAACAGAACAATAATATAATGATATCCCTATGACACTGTCATCAAGGTTAAATGAATACTTAGAAGAATATTTGACACATAGTAGGCTTCTATACCATCATTTCCAGAGCAGGAGCATCTTCATCTTTTTAAATTATCCCTCACCTGTGATTTTGCTCTCTCTAGAGCAGCTGGGCTTGAGAAAATCCTCTTACTTTTTACACGTTTAGTAACGACCTCTCTTTTAGGATCCCACTATCAGTCTGCCTCTTTACATTCTACAAGATAATGTTTTACTTTATTTATAATCAGAAAAAGTGAAAAAGAAAATCAGTAGCACAAAGAAATGAAGCTCATGCTGAAAAGCCACAGATTGGATCTGAAGCTGTCCGGTAGGCAAATCATCTCATGCATCCCATTCTGTAACATACACTAATTTTGTATTACTCTGTTAATTATAAACATTATAGATGAGCTCTAAGTTACGGGGATGCAAGTATCATGCTTATGTCAGCACTTACCTGTACTTTCAAAGTTAAAAAAAGAAAAAAACAGGTATTTTTGTTCAAAATCTGGAAAACACAAAAGAGCAAAACAATCACCCATAATTTAACAACCTGGAAGTAATTACACTGAAAATGTCAGTACCCATTTCTTAGTGAAGGGAAAATGAACCAATCTTCCAGAGATTTTATAAAGGTTAAGGAGGTGGCATCTGAAAGCAGAGGAAGCACTGTTCTTGAGAACAAGTGTTATCAGGTCCTTCAAAATAAGCTGAGGGGCATAAAAGGGTACTTGACACAAAGGCAGAAAGGTAACATTTTAAGACAATCAACATTACAACACAATGGTTATAATTTAAGCAACTCTTTTAATTTCATATGAACATGTTTCAGAACTTTGCTATTCTAATTAGCAGAACCATTCACTTATAAAATATCCACTCTTGTAAAACAATTTTACTTGTCCTTTTGGTCTGCAGGTAGCAGAATGCTTTTTGTAAATTTATTTCTTCACCCAGCTTATAAGTCATAACATTATCTCTACAGGAATTTCTGCCAGTTTGTTTACTTCCACTGACCCAAGTGGACCTCTTGGGTGATTAAAATTATCCTTCTGCCTCTTTCTACAGAGAGCCAATGGCATGAGATTTCACCTGAAGGAAGGGGGTCTCAAACGCTGGTTTGAGGCTGCCGGAAGTTATGCCCCTGAGGCAGGAACCCCACAAAGGCAGACCATCCCTTCCAGCTCCGCCCCATGTTTGCTCACAGCAACTGTCCTAATGCAGGATAGAGTCAATCTGTGGTTTTCTGGCTTTAAAATATGACACCATTTTCCCTTTCCCCAAACTGCATCCCCTAGAGGCTAGACTCAGCTGGATTGGGGCTCCCCTGCTCAGCAGTAAAAATTCTTTCAGTCAGTACTCCATCTTGGGTCTCTGTTATTTTTCCTCCTTTAATGAAGCGCCAGGTTGCAGGATGATACAGAAAGCTGTTTTGGCAAGTCAGAGAAGCATCTGAGTTTTTCAGGACAGTGATGCATTGGTTAGAAGGTCTGAAGAAAGGAGCAAGGCACCAGTGCTTAGGGAAATGGGAGAAACTGGTCCCAGGAAAGTACAAAAATCCATGAGAACTGAAATTGGATGCTTGTAAACTTGCAATAGGGCCAATCAGCATGCTTCTACAGGAGAGTCCCTGAGTATAGAGACATAATCCTCTGAAAACAAAATCCATATAAAGGAATGGTAGAGAACACTCATTTATAGTGATGAGTGCGTAAGGGACTTGGGGAGTATTAGAGCATCCAAAATTCAATCAAGATTTCTCTTTAGTTTATGCCCACCCAGGGACACACACACACACACACACACACAGATTTCCTTTTATTAAGTAATCAGATCTAGTGATTTCCTCAATTCCTTAGCATTTCTAAAAGAAAAATACTATAAAGAGATTTCTGTTTAGTCCACAAATTCCCCTTCAGTGAGGAAAGAGGGGAGGGTGGGATAGGGAAGAACTGAGAAGGCCTGAGGGAGAAGTGGGGATGACTTCTTCATGGAACTGCTCAGTTCCTGAACACTGAATGCCAGGCTCGTCCCCTGAGGCTGACCTGGGAATCTGGGAGGGTGTGTTTGTTTGTTACAAAGACAGCACTTAGGAAACCCAAATTTTGTCAACTTCTTTTCTTTTCTTTTTTTTTTTTTTAAGATTTTATTTATTTATTTGAGAGAGAGAGAGGATGAGGGGGGAAGCACAGAGGGAAAAGGAGAAGCAGGCTCCCCGCTGAGCAGGGAGCCCAATGCGGGGCTCAATCCCAGGACCCTGAGACCCTGCTCTGACCTGAGCCAAAGGCAGACGCTTAACCGACTGAGCCACCCAGGTGCCTTGGTCTAATTTCCTTTTCCAAAGATTTCCTATGTGACTAAAATGTACATTGAATACAACTGAGTAAACTGAAAGAAAATTGTACTTCCTTTCACGGAAACTCTTTACCAAGAAACATTCAGAACTTTAAGATATAATACCACTAATGACATGTCAGCTAAAATTACTTAAGTCAATATAATGCACTTGGTTTAGACTGCATCTGGAGCTTTTGCAGTCAATGCTTCCACATGTGGGACTGTTAACAGATAAACTTGAGGCACAGTAAAAATTCTAAGATTGTCATTTGACCTAAAATTGATTGGAATTGGGCAGCATCCAATCAAGCAGAGAGAAGGCACTCCAAGGAGCTGTAGAAAATGAAGACTTGTACAGGCAGAATGTAGCAGGAACAAGGAAGTTACACTAGACAATAAAGGGGGTGGTTATTGCAAGGTTACAAGCCCTTAGGGGATGGCAGGGGTGTATCAGGCAGATTACCTAACTAGTGCTGATCAGGCGACTCCCAATTGACTGGTTTAAGATTCCATTTCTGGGAGGGTCAAATGTAATCAAGTTAAGTCTCTGGTGAGGTGGGACTTAGGATATCATCTGGGGCCTGTTTCTTGTTTTTTGTTGTTGTTGTTGTTCCTGTTGTTTTTGTTTTCTTGCACAAATGCATGAGTACAACATACGAATATCCCATTATGCATTTCAGTGAAACCTTGAACTAAGCATTTATACATTGAAGTGTGTTTTATTCTTACCTCCAGTTTATTACAGTAAAGGGGGCAACACAAAATATTTGTGATTAACAAAAGGAGAAGGATGTAGGTATGTGGAGCTGAGATCCAGTGGCCTCGTGTAAGAGCTTTTCATTTTGGAATCAACAGACCCCTCTCAGAATATGATGGACACCAGGAAACCTCCCAGCCATGCATAAGCATAAACATTTGCATAAGCACCCTGTGCAAATAGAGTCACTCTTAGGGGAATATTTGGAAGGTGAAGTAATAGAGGAGGGTGTGTTTAATAGTTTAATAAATAAACTAGACTTGGTAGGGTGCAAACAGAAAGCAACTTTACTCCTGCTCAGGTTTCTGCATTTAAACCCTCTCTCTACAATGGTTCTTGTCTTTCTCAGGACAAAATCTCAGGCATATTCCATACTATTTTCACCATCACTTTCGGATCATCTATATTCCAGGCTCTCACCAATTTATGTTTTTCCTTCCCTCAAACTTTAATCTTTTCAGGTTTTAAAGCTTTGGTGGGGGTAGGAGTGTGGTCAGTGTTTTTCCTACTGTTTCCCTGCCCTGAATTTCATTGCCTCCTGTTGTTGCACTGAGACAGGCGATGGGGAGAGGAAACAAGGACGAGGAGCAGACAGCTCTCACACAGTTGTAATCTGGTACTGGTGCCCTCTAGATTGGACATATTCCAAATGCTGATTCTCTCCCACAGAGTGCTTTTCCAGACACTTGGTAAACCCTTCCCACTTTGAGAATTTCTAACCTTAAAAACTGTATTTGTGGACTCCTACTGGCTCCTCTAGCTGGCCACCTGTGAGCCTTCCTTAGCTCCTGGTTTTGACAGAGTCTCTCCTTCACCAAACTCTGGCCAGGCTCCTCTGAGCATCTGAGCCTGGAGAAAGTAGGGTTCAACCTTGGTCTATAAAGACTTGAACAAACACTGACAGTTGCTAACATTCCAAAGCTACATCCTTAGGATGATGATAGGTCTCTCCTCTCCCCTCAGCCCCATTGCTTAAAGCACCTGCCTGAGAAAACTCAATGCCACCAGAAGCATTTGCCCCTGTGGAAAGGTAGAACTCTAACTTTGATAAGGGCCAGTTAAGGAACTCAGATGTGTTTCACACAGACAAGCCTTTTGTGAGTTTTCATTTCCCTGATTCTATGGAGTCCCTGCTCTCCCCATCCCTGTTCCTTTATCCTCCCTTTAAAATGCCCAGTCCCGGGCGCCTGGGTGGCTCAGTTGGTTAAACGACTGCCTTCGGCTCAGGTCATGATCCTGGAGTCCCTGGATCGAGTCCCACATCGGGCTCCCTGCTCGGCAGGGAGTCTGCTTCTCCCTCTGACCCCCCCCCCTTGTGTTCTCTCTCATTCTCTCTCTCTCAAATAAATAAATAAAATCTTAAAAAAAAAAAAATGCCCAGTCCCTTCTGTACAAACTGAGGTTGAGTTCTGTTCACACTGGACTCTTTCCCTATTGCGATAGTATATTACTGATTAAAATTTGTCCTTACCACTTTAAGCAGAGTCTGGCTTTGTCTATCTTTGATAGTTTCCAGTAACCCACCTCTCTGCTGGAGTCACCACATCTTTCAAGTGGTCTCATTGGGTAAGATCAGCCTCCTTCACTGAGTCCATATCTGGCTCATGGATAACTTATGCATCCTCTATCCCACCAAACTTTGGATGCAGCCCTTTCCCAACAGAAAGGGCTTCCTTGCTTAGCTCTGTTGTCAGAAAAGCAGGTCATCACAGTCTTGAGACTTTTCAGGCCTGAGTCAGGTGTCCTATGTCTTCCAATCTTCCCTCTTCATTGCCTTAAGGATAGACTAAGCACCCTCCTCCCTTTGCCCATTGCCCAGGGTGTTTGGGGAGCCTGGAGAACATCATTACAATAATAAAGTGGGTGTTTGATACTCATTTCCTCTCCTTCCTAGAATCAAATTTTGACTCTTACAAATATAGATGGACTCATAGGTATCTTACTCTTTGTTGCATCCTCAGCATTCACCTGGTGCCTAGGTCAGAGTAGACTTTGTATCTAATTGTTTAATGGATGACCAACTATGCCATTGGAAAGTACACTTCATGTAAGTTAAAGGAAAGAACAACAAAGAAAATACTGAGTAAGGTTATTTTACTGTTTTAGTTTTCTTTCTTAACCAATTTTACTTTCTCACTACAATTCTACTTTTCTCTCACTCTTTGAGTCACCAGCTTTTTTCCCTGCAAAGTGATTTCCTTCCTTCACTGCCTATCCATTTTGCACTTCTAGAAGTTTGGGTAAACTCATCCTTTGCAGTAGAAAAAAAAAAAGCCTCACTCTAAGGAGACTGCCCAGAGTCTTTCTCAGATTCCCTTTTCATTCTGCTGAAGTGAAAAGAGCATCTGCCCTGGATGATAGAGGAAAACTGGATAGGATAACTTGTTTCCTTTTCAATTTATTTTCCACAAAAGGGATCCTGCTTTAAAGGAAAACTTATTTATAGATAGAATAAGTGGATTTGATTCTTCTTTGGGCTAGTCATAGTGTTGATACAAAAGAAGAGAAAAACACCAGAATTGTTACACTTACCCCATTGGTTGTTTCAGATGGCCAGTTTCTTTAGCAGAAACAGTCTTTCGCAAATGACTTTGAATATCATGCCTGAAAGAAAACATTGCATAGTATCAGTCACCTTACAGGACAGAGACTCTGAATTCATAGGTATTCCTTAGACTGAAATGGACAGAAACCCAGTACAAACTAGTAAAGCAATAAATGAAATTTATTTGCTTACATTACTGTGAAGTCCAGAGAGGATCACTGCTTTGGGGAGGACTAGATCCAAGGATTAAAAGGATGTTGTTAAGGCTCTGACTATGTTTGTCTCTGAGAGCTACCTGGTAGACAGGATGAACATTCCAGATTTTTCTTACTGGAAATTTCAGATTTACACCCTCTCAGTTTTAGTAACCCCAATAGAAAGAGAATGGCTTCCTGACAGCATCTGTAGAAAACTCTCAGAGGTTTTGTTGTAATTAGTTTGAGTCAGGTGCCCTGAATCAATACTATGGCCATGGAGATAGTATTCTAATTAGGCAGGTCTAGGACACATGTCCACACCTGGAACTGAGTTCAGGGGTGAGGGGATGTCAATCCCGCTCATACTACACGAAATGGGTTCCCTCAAAAAACTGGCATTCTGTTATCAGAAGAAGAAGAAGAAAAGAATTGCTTGCCAGACATTTCCCTTGCTGATATGTGGGTGTATATAAGTATATATAAATGTATATATATTTGTTTTGTTTTTTACAAAAGGTCTCCTCTTTAAACTCCCTCCAAGCGTGAGGATTTAAAAGATGGCAATTTCTTACACTTCTCTGTTATCCACTCCAATATTTAATAAATTTCTTCCTTTCAGAAGGAAGAAATCATCTCATTTCTAATGAAAATCATTCATGTTTTAACTTATAAGCACCTTTACTTTTGTCATAATCTTGATAGAGAAGTCAAACAGCAGTGACAAAGTTTGCTTTAATAACTTTATAGCTTGGAAAAAGAGAAAATTAGGAAGAAAAAGAAAAGAAAATCAAGAAGGAAAAGCACAAATAAAATAGATGCAAAGTAACTCCAAGAGTAAAGAAACATGGTTCTAAGATAATCAGTAGCCTTAGTTATCACTGGAGTGAGTGCTGGAGATGACTGAGGTTAACACTGGGAATACAGCTTATTATGGAAATTTTGCCAAGTTTTATTTCTTGCCCAGTTGAGTTTGTGGGCAAACCTATTTCTCTGCCTTGGTCTCCTAACTCCGGGAATGCCACCAGCATCAACCCACATGACTAAATTAGAAACCACATTTAATCATTGACTTTTTTCTTGCCTTATCTTCACAAACATTTAAACATAACAATCTCTGTCTCCACTCTTGAATCGGTTCACATCTTTCCCTGCCCATTCACTTACTCACGCATTCCTCATGAAATCTAGAGTCCAGGGGGTGAGGCATATATCCAACGAATAACCACGTGAATAACTGTTTAATTTATAACTATGTTCAGTGCTATAAGGGAGAGTACAGAGGGAGCAGGATGTCAGAGAAGGCTGCCTAAGGAAGTGACATTCAGGCTGAGACTTCAAAGCTTATAAGAACTGGTGGCAGAAAGTGGGAGACGCCATGTGTTCCAGCCAGAAAGACCAGTCTGTATGATGACCCTTCACACGATTGCATGTGTTAGAAGGAAAATGGACGGGGATTACGATGTGTAGGAGAAACTGAAATCTTTCATTTGGATTACTGCAATAGCCTCTTAGCTTCTTTCTCTTCCTGGAGTTTCATTTTCCTAATGTTGTTTTCAGAGGATCATAAGCAGGCTCTTTGTAAAGTGTGAATCCAATCATGACTTTCTTCTTTAAAATACATTAGTTTCTCCTTACCCAGAGGGGATATGTTCCAACAACCCCAGTGGGTGCTTGAAACCACGGATAGTACCAAACCCTATATATATTATGTTTTTTTCCTATACATCCATACCCCCGATAAAGTTTAATTTTCTTTAAGTTTAACTTATAAATTAGTCACAGTAGGAAATTAACAACAATAACTCGTAATAAAACAGAGCAATTATAATAATATAGTTAGTCCTTGAACAACGTGGGGATTAGGGTTGCTGAATGTGCAGTCAAAAATCCGCATGTAACTTTTTGACTCCTCCCAAATTTAACTGTTGACCAGAGCCTTACCTACCGGGAACATAAACAGCCGATTAACATGTATTTTGTATATGTGTTACATAACATATTCCTACAATAAAGTAAGCTAGAGAAGAGAAAATGTTAAGAAAATCATAAGGAAGAGAAAATACATTTACAGTGCTGTATTTACCAAAAATACCCCACATACAAGTGGACCTGCACAGGTCAAATCCGTGTTGTTCAAGGGTCAACTGTATACTATAATAAAAGTTACGTGAAACTGGTCTCTCTCTCAAAATACCCTATTGTACTGTGTTCACCCTTCTTGTGGTGACATGAGATGATAAAATGTCTCTGTGATGAGATGAAGTGAGCTGAATGACGAAGGCATTGTGATGTGAGGCTACTACTGACCTTCGGACGATACAGAGGATCATCTACTTCCGGATCCTGGTTTACTGCGGGTAACTGCAACCTTGGAGAGGTGCCTGGGTGGCACGGTCAGTTAAGCAACTGACTCTTGATTTTGGCTCAGGTCATGCTCTCATTGGTCTTGAGATCAAGCCCCATGTTGGGATTAACTAGGAGTCAGCTTGGGATTCTATCTTCTCCCTCTGCCCCTTCCCCTGCTTGATCTCTCTCTCTCAAAATGAATAAATAAATATTAAAAAAAAAAAAAAAAGATGGGCGCCTGGGTGGCTCAGTCATTAAGCCTCTGCCTTCGGCTTAGGTCATGGTCCCAGGGTCCTGGAATCGAGCCCCGCATCCGGCTCTCTGCTTGGAGGGAAGCTTGCTTCTCCCTCTGGCCCTCCCCCTGCTTGTGTCCCTTTCTCGCTGTGTCTCTCTCTGTCAAAGAAATAAATAAAATCTTAAAAAAAAAAAAAGAGAGAGAAAGCTTGGAAAGCAGAACTGCAGATAAAGGGGGACAAACTGTAAAAGTCAATTACACCTCCAGGGTTCATTGTATTCCATTTCTACAGATGATAAAGGATACAGCATATTGAAATAGACAACAAATCTTTTTAAAATATTGTAAAATGTGTTTTTCACCTTATCCACAACAGTTTACATGCTTATAGTCCGGCTGTAGGTTTAAAATTATAAAACCTGTGTAAGAAGAGCCTGTGTTTTGGAAGTCACATATAGAGAGAGAACATTTAAACATTTTTGCCGATAATTTGGGAACTTTAAAATGTGTTTCACATTCGTGTTCATGCTAATGGTGTTCCTCCATACTTCCTAGTACAGAGAGAGGGGCAGAGAAGTGGACGTGCCAATTAGGGAAACTGGGCCATCCATAACTGAAGCCTGGAGGAGTATTTGTCAACCTATGTATCTGTTTTGTTTAAAGAGGTAAGTGGTCAATTTTCCAGTGTTAGTCCTAAATTTATTTATTTATTTATTTATTTTTTAAAGATTTTATTTATTTATTTGAGACAGAGAGAATGAGAGACAGAGAGCATGAGAGGGAGGAGGGTCAGAGGGAGAAGCAGACTCCCCGCCGAGCAGGGAGCCCGATGCGGGACTCGATCCAGGGACTCCAGGATCATGACCTGAGCCGAAGGCAGTCGCTTAACCAACTGAGCCACCCAGGCGCCCCGAAATTTATTTTTTTAAAGATTTATTTATTTGAGAGCGAGAGAGCGTGAGCCTGTGAGCATGAGCGGGGGTGGGGGGGCGGAGGGAGAGGAGAGAGAAAATCTCAGACTCCCCGCTTAGTGGGGAGCCCGACATGGGGCTGGATCTTGGGAGATCATGACCTGAGATGAAACTAAGAGTCCTATACCCAACACCCATGTGCCCAAATCCTATATGAAATTTAAAAACTGATTAAAAGGAGAAAATTTTGATAAATTTAAATTTATAATCATAAACTGAGGAAGTCTTAATATAATCAGGCACCTTTTCTACTGGAAAGGAGGTTAGAAAAGAAGCTCAAAAATAGTAATCATCCCGGGCGCCTGGGTGGCTCAGTTGGTTAAGCGACTGCCTTCGGCTCAGGTCATGATCCTGGAGTCCCTGGACTGAGTCCCGCATCAGGCTCCCTGCTCAGCAGGGAGCCTGCTTCTGCCTCTGACCCTCCCCCCTCTCATGTGCTCTCTCTCTCTCATTCTCTCTCTCAAATAAATAAATAAAATCTTTAAAAAAAAATAGTAATCATCCTTATTATGTTCAAGTAAAGAGATAATAGGACTAGTATAAAATGTTTTAAATTAAGAAATCAAATCTTATGTTAATCTTTAAAATGGAACACAGGCAAAATGAAGACTTTTTAAAATATGGGGAATTTTAGAACATACAAAATAATAAATGGATGTAAAACTGTATATACACTATGACACAAAGATATAACATGCAAAGAACAAATGCTTGATAGAAATACATTAATATTTAAGGCTCCTTATTTCTGGGTGGTGGATTATAGGTGATTTTTTTTCTTTTTTTTTTATTCTTATGTTAATCCCCATACATTACATCATTAGTTCTAGATGAAGTGTTCCATGATTCATTGTTTGTGCATAACACCCAGTGCTCCATGCAGAATGTGCCCTCCTCAATACCCACCACCAGGCTAACCCATCCTCCCACCCCCCTCCCCTCTAGAATCCTCAGTTTGTTTTTCAGAGTCTATCGTCTCTTATGGTTCGTCTACCCCTCCGATTTCCCCCGCTTCATTCTTCCCCTCCCGCTACCTTCTTCTTCTTCTTCTTTTTTTTTTTCTTAACATATATTGCATTATTTGTTTCAGAGGTACAGATCTGAGATTCAACAGTCTTGCACAATTCACAGCGCTTACCAGAGCACATACCCTCCCCAGTGTCTATCACCCAGTCACCCCATCCCTCCCCCCCCCACTCCAGCAACACTCAGTTTGTTTCCTGCGATTAAGAATTCCTCATATCAGTGAGATCATATGATACATGTCTTTCTCTGTTTGACTTATTTCACTCAACATAATACCCTCCAGT